TCCTTCCATTTTAGCCTCAAATCTCCTGACTCTTCTCAAGGTTTTCCCCCAGCAAAGCAGACCTGTCCTCCTCTCTTGTTCCCTCTGTCACAAAAGAAACCCTAAAACCTTAATACTAGTACCTCCAGACTGGGAAAACATCATATTCTGGCTGCTGGATTGAGTCAACAGAACATCTCTTCACCTGTTTTTGGTCCCACTATCTGGTTCCTTGCTCCTCCCTCCCATCCTGGGAAATAAATCTAGAATCCAGATGCTCCAGTATCATTTCCCCTGTGAGCCATACAGGGCTTTTCTGCTCTACAAAGGCAGTTACGCACCTTCTGGATGAGAGCAAAGTTACTTTGCAAGGCCTTGGTCACACCATTTTCATACAGCTTTCTCCTCATGTGGCTCTCTCCTGTATCCCCGTTCAGGCTGGACTGGTACTTCAAGAGAGACTTCAACATTGTCTCAAAGGGATCCACTGAAAGCAAATAAAGGAAACACCATTCAAAAGTCAGGCAGTCACACCACACAGGGATCACGAAAACAGCAATCTCTTTAATTGGGCACTGCTACTTCTGGAGAGTGAGCAAGGCATGGCTCCCTTTCCCAGGAACAGTCTCTTTGGGCTGTCAAGCTTCTCTTGCTCCATGTAGGCTGGGACCTCATAAGGTCTGTTCTCTGTGGCAGGGTACCATCCTGTGATCAGCTTCCCCTGCAGAGGTTGACTGCTGGCTCTACCAAGTAGCTCTTTAGAGTTCATAACATTAATAACATCACAGGAGCTTGCCAGTTCATATCTGGTTGTGCCACTGACTTGGTGACAACAGTGAGCATGCCATGCTCCTCCCCTCCTCCTCCAGCCCCTCCAGCTCTTTTCCCTTTGAAATCTTGTGCGCCCTCCTGCCCTGACCATGGCTGTGCACTCATGACATATCAGGTCACAGGAGAGACTTAGCCAGAGGTTGCTCTCTGCACTCCTTACCTTGCTTCATAGCCCCAGCAAACCTCATCTGACACCCTACTGCTCCTGCATGATTTCTCTCACTTGCATTGAGTTCCCTGCTGATGAGCTCTTCCCGAACTAACACCTCCCTCTCTCAGTCAGGACTGCCTCCAGCAGAGAAGCTCTTAGAGAAAACAGTTCCCCACTAAGCTACAGAATGCTTTTCACTTCTTATCACCTTGCTTTCCATCTTCCTTCCACACAGACACCTGCAGCAGTGTACAAACTAGAAAAAAACATATACCCTCCATCTTCCATATCCACGGCTCAATTCAGTTAGATTTTTAACTCTGAATTTCAGCACCACAGGCCTCTACTTATTAGAATTGCTAAAGCATATTAGGTGTCAATGCAAAACTGTGCAATAAAGCACAGCATATGCTTTTTCCCCTTCTGTAAACATTTCCGTGGGTCTTGCAGAACTGGTAGAATCTTTAAGGAACTATTTGGAAGCAGCAATCAGAGGGATAATTTCACTATCTACTACAGTCTGCTATTTCTCCCAGATGGAGTGAAACCTCTGAGGCATCAGAAAACATCAAGGCTGGGCTAGACACATATGACTCTACAAACTGCGGATGTTATCTAGGATTCCCAGCAGAGATCAGGGCCTCATTATGCTACTGGACAAACATATAAGAAGAGACAATTCCCACCTGCAGAGGACATACTACTTAAAAACACAAAAGCAGCTAATGAGACCCAAGGCATGAATATGGTAAACTTTCCTAAATGCTCTTCTGTCACATCATTTCCATTCCAATGTTTTTAAGCTTTGCATCTCACCTTCTTTCCCACTTTGAATGACAAGGAGTATGTGCATGTGTCTTTTGGCAGAGCAGATGGTACCTGCAGCTGGAGCAGGCTGTTATGTGACTCTAGCTGCTGCTGACAATTTCTTCTCCAAGGTACTTGGCCATGGAGGGGCTGCTGCTATTCATGCCATGACTCCCTGCTGACTGGCGCTGGCAGAGCTAGGCACAGTACTGGGGTAGCCAGAAAGACACATGGTAAAGCCCACACAGCAAATCTGGCTAGCAGACACATTTGGAGAGGCCAGAGGATGCTTAGCACCATCACCTGCAGAAACTGCAAAGTTCTCCTGGTGCACATGAAAGAAAACTGCTGGATCAGCCATAGGCTCCAGTTTTTTCTCCTCTGTTGCTAGTGCAAACTGGCAGTCTCATGTCACTGACACACTCGGTGTTGTGAACTCAGGACTGCAAAGCCCAGGCTGCCGTTTGCTGAGGGCTGGCCCTGCCTCGCAGTATTTGGGAAATGGCTATTTCTCCACAGCTGTGGGAGAAAGAAAATCTTACAAGGAAAACTCTCTCATCCCAACAACTCAAGAGTGTTGTCCTGGACACCACCGTAAGTAAATATGGAGAAAATATCTAATTTTGGATAGTCGAGACAGATGCCAATTAGAACTGAACATCAGAGATGGAAAGGACCTCTGAAGCTGCACACTACAAATGCACACCGAACAGAATCACAGAATATTAGGAGTTGGAA